TGGATGATGCTGGGGACACTTTTGGTGACTGTTTTCTGGGGGGTGGCATCCCATTGGCCTTGGACCTTGCTCCTGTGTCAGGCTGGATATGGCTTGTGGCTGTTTCTAGGGCATCTGAACCATGCCTCAGTCTCTTGAGGTTCTACTCCTCTCTATGGCCTTCAGTTTTGCCCCATGCTGCCCTCAGGCTGTGGTTACCACACGGGACTTGTACGCCAACAGTGTCTGCCACAAGGTCTTTTGCTACTGCTCTACTAGGATATTTGGTGGATGGAGACCTGCTCCTGTGTTTAGCCTACTGAGGTGCTGTTGTGAAGAGAAGACCTCTGTGACTTAGTGTTCTCCAAGCTGCTCCTGTGCATTGTCAGATGTTTCTCTGCTGAATGGTGCGTAGCTTCATGGGAAGCAAAAGCTTTGTTTTCTGAACTTCTAGGCTGTGATCTGGTCCCTGGAGGGTACATTGTAATGGTTCACATCCCAGCCTGCGTGCTCTGTCGCTGGCTGTCCTCTCCCCTGCTGCTGCCTTCCTGTGGCATTGGCAAGGGTGTCCTATGCTCTGTTTCGTAGTTGGTGTCTGAATTCTTCTAGAGCTTCTTGACTGGTCCTAGGTGTGTTGCACCTAGCAAAAAGGTCTGCGTTTCTTGCCCGAGACTCCTTCAGGAAAGAGGGTCTCCCAGATACGGGAAAGGGAATCTCCTGTGAACAGGTAGTTCCTGCCATCAAAAGTGAACTGGTCTGTCCCAGCAGCTCCTATGCTCTGACTGTGATTTCTGGAGGTTGTGGAGATGGCCGCTGCTGGTCTTCTCTCCCCTGCTGCAGAGCTTGCACTGTCACATTTGCACTGGGCGCTCGGTCCTAGGGCTCATCGCAGGCATGCCTTCCCTCTCGAGTTTAAATGCTTAGGTCTGCTGCTTCCCTTTAGACATGATCCAGCCTTACACCACAGCCCCTCTTTCCTGTGGCAATGTGATAGCCTACTGACATCGCCAAACCCCTTGGCAAAGTGGGACAGTTTGGCCGTGCTTGCTGTTTGGCTGTTAAAATCCTGGGACGTTTATACCGTCCTCTCTCAAGCTAGGCAGATTTTTATGTCACCCAACCTGCCTGTGGATAGAGTTGGGGGTATGCCCTGTAAAGGTAAGGTGAGTGGACTTAGGAACAGGGATGTGAAGGAGTCTCATCCCCGTTTGTGAGGGAGGGGGTTGGTGAACGTGACAGTCAGGAGAAAGACAGTGGTAGCAAAGGATCCTCCTCACTGGGGACAGTGGGGACAAGCGGGAGCTGGTTTTGGGCCCTGCTTGCTGGGAGGAACGTGCCCCTGGGGCGGTCACAGGGGTAGAGACCAGGGTCGTGTCGAGGCGGCATGTCAGCCGGTGCGATGCAGGGCGCGCGGGGCTTTCTGCCAGCGGTTGTGGCAGCGCTCCCGCGGTACCCGAGCCGCTGACGCTGGAGAGCCCTTGGAGCGGCACGTGTTTGTGCAGCGCCAAGCGCGGTGCAGACCTGGCTGGAGGAGGTCCATAGTGACCTGCTGTAATACTAGCAAGAGGAGTCCGCTCCTCCTTCCATGTTACTCCTGGTTGTTGCTCTCGCTCTGTTCAACCGCCCACACTTACCGCTCCAGACAGTAACCACTTCCTTCTCATCCTGCCTTGCGATTTAAAACATTGTAGTGAGGCAAGCGCCTCTCACCCCGTTCATCGGATGATTGCAGAACAAATAACCGATTGATGAAACAAGAAGGAAAGAATGAAAAGGCCTCTTTCAAAGCAATGGAAAGCAAAAGACAGAGTGTGAGCCAGGGCTGGAAAATAAACACTTGCCACATCCGTCACTCTGCTTTCCTCGTTTTATTTTCCTTCCCAGCAATGCTGCTGTATTCGGTTTGTTTTTTCAGCGTGGAAGATAACCTGCCGCTGCAGTGGCCCAAGGCTCACATAACCGCGCCGAAGAGAGCCGGTTCCCCGTGTTGATTCCTCTCCAAATCGGCCTCTCCGTGCTCTGCCTGCCCCGCGCCTTTGCCCTCCCCTTCTCCAGCCTCTTTCTTGTCCTGCCCTCCCGGTCGGGGTCGCGGCTCAGCTTTGCAGCGGTACCGCAGCCGTGCCGGGAAGGGTGCGTCGCGCTGGGAAACCCAGGGCGAGCGAGGCGATGGGACGGGTCTCAGCTGCCTTTTGCTTCCCGAGTCGCCGCTGCAGTGGAGGGAGCGCCCTGACGCGAGCCAGGCACCCTGAGGGCCGGTGCCGCGTTTTGGCAGCCCGCCCCAGGCAGGGGTGGCATCGCCCTGTGTGATAAGACCTGTACGGAAACTTCTCCAACCCGGATTAGCAAATCCTGCCGGATGGGCCCACCGCCGTGGGAGAGCACGGGGGCTCCACCTTGCTCGGCTGTGGGCAGCCCCTTCTCCTCCGGAGGAGGGAACTCGGTTTTATAATGCTCCCATAAGAGCAAGTGGAAAGAGGAAAAAGGCTTATCCTTGCTCTGAAATGGCTCACGAGGCTTCAGTAAGCTTTCAAGTTTCATATTATTGTGCACCGTCTGGATTACGGCCGTGCCCTGAGCACTGATTTCAGCGACTGTTATCTGTTTTGCACATAAGCTGGTTTCCTGCGCCAATTGAATCTGACATTTTATTAAAACCTACCGTGAATGAACATAAAACATCATTACAGTGTAACAACCACACAAGCAAAGTGGAATGATTTCTGCCTGGGTTAGAGCCACTTGGTTTTTTACTCTGGTATAATAGAGATCTGAAAACGAGCAATTTGACAGATGATTGCATTTACCAGTCCTTGCGATTTTAGTACAAGGTTTTACATTATTGCTGTGCTACAGCCCCAGCCCCCAAAGAGAAGCTGTTACGTGAGGAATTCTGCTGTTATTACAGAAAACCAAGTCTTTATTCTCCATTTTTGCATCTAGGAGAATTTGAAAACATGACCTGAGGGTACCTTCTGACTCAAAACTCAGAAAGAGAATAAAAGAAAGTAAAATTTTATTGACAGTTTCTTTCTTTTAAATTCCCTTTGGTGAATGGTGCAGCCTAACTGGTAGTTGCTGGCTATTTAGGTTGCCTGTACTGCTTGATACAGTGTGTCCTCCTTGTGCGTGTGGGTTTTCTTTGTTCCGCTGCAGTATTTAGCTTTTATTCATGAAACAAGCCTGGGATCAAAACTATTTTGTTTCATACAGAATTTGTGATTCCAAAGCAGGGCTGTGTGTGAGAAGGAGCAGAGAATGGCACCTTTAGTTTTATTTTGTAGTAGAATGCAGTAATAATGTTAGAAATTAAAATTTTTGAGTTTTTTCTTGGTTTTTCTTGATGCATCAGCATCAGCACAAATTCCAGAACAGTCTACCTTGCTAATTTTGAAAAACATATTTGGCTTATATCTGCTCAATTGAGCAATCTTTCCCTCTTGCTCTCTAAATATAGATAACTGCTGTACAGATTGATGCATAATATGAATAATAAAGTAATGCATTCGTTAACATTTCACAGAAATGCCTATTTCCTGTCCTCTGGGCACAGAAGAAAATAGTATCTGCAGCTCCAGGCCTGTAAAAAGGAAGGGCTAGACCCTGTCCCCTCTCACAGCCACACTGCTCTGCTCAGCACAGGGGCATTGATTTCAGTCATGATTCATAAGGAAAAAGGAGAGCAAAGCAACATCCCAGTGTGCTATACGGTAGTGAGTGTGCAGTTAGCCTGAACGCCAACCGTATAGTCGGGATTAATTGTTCCAGCTCATCTGTGGCTGATTGTGTGTTCTGCAGAGCACGGGGTTGCCAGCACCTCTGTGTTAAAAAGTGTGCTTTTCCATTACTCGGGCCCCATGTTGGTGGGCCTCCTGCCCCACTGTGATGTACACCTGCTCCTCCAGGGCCACCTCAAGCCCTCTGCCTCCTGCCCAAGTAGGTCAATGTTGGAGATTTATAGCTATGTATTGGTCTGAAATAGGGAACCAGGGGTATAAATGAGCAATTCTGCTGCGTCCTGGGTGAACTCAGGGCGAGGAGATGCTCGTGTCCATGCTCCTTGTCCTCAAAGAGCCTTTGATTTTGAAGACTGAGGAAGTGCTCAGAAAAAGCAGCGGGAAGCGGGGAAAGAGAAGGTGAGTGGAGGTGAACGTGGAGTGAATGCCGTTTGCGTCTTAACATCACTGTGACGCATTTTGAAGGCACTTGTTAAAACAGGCACCTCCAGAGACAAACAGCTCTGACAGCAGTTTTAAGATGAGCCTAACTCACTGCCCTCCAGGAGAGCCTGTTTCTACTCACTGGTTATGAAAGGAGCCTGGGGTGACTAGTTCAAGTCTTAGATGTCTATTAGATGCCTAAGTTAGGGCATATGAATCCTATGCTGAGAGTCAGTCAGCCTGAGATATTTCTGTGGTTCTCCAGCTACATCCTCTCTTTACCATATTAAGAACATCTGGACAAAGTGATTTATAAGCTCTCTCCCTTGGTAGTGTTGGCTGTATTTTATATTCCAGTAATTTTTTATGTTACCGAACTATTATTCATGAATGAGTGGATTTCGAGGTAAAGCCTTTCACAGACTTCAGTTGCTATTGAATGTGTCACTGGGTTCTGAGCTTTCCTTCTTTCCTTCTTTTTTCCCCACAGCGTCTTTCAGTTTTACTCTTGCTCTGTTGGATTCTTGTTCTGGGGCCTGATTTGCAAACTTGTCACTACCAACTTTTGTAAGCTGGGCTGGGTCAGGCTTGCTTAGTACCTGGACTGAGGACCTCAACGGCCAGGCTGGATCAGTGCATGAAGGAGCACTGATGACTCCGTAGCTGCTGCTTCTTCCTAAGAGTGAATGTATTATTAGGGTGGCGAGGATACCAAAGATGCCTGGCTGAGTGGCCCCAGCAGAGCTTCTCAGCGCACCTAGCAACACTCAAGAAAATCATTTTGGACTTCTGTCACAGGTCATGGGCTCATTTTTTTTTATTCAAGTGGTTTATTTATTCACGTCCCATTTTTCTTTCTTAAAGGCTCCCCATCTGTTTGTTACAAGCCTACCAGCCCAGCCCAGATACTGGAAGACACTGGCTTTCTTTACCCGGATCACCAGTTTGCAGGCAGGCATGAAGTTTCTCCATTAACAGCTGAAGCAATCAGTGGTGCTAAAGAGAAAGCTGGTAAGTGGACAGCCACGCTTGCATACCAACCCATCACGTTTACTTCCTTGTTTTTCCCTGAACATGAATTGAGCAGTTTAGAGTATTTATAAATAACACTTAGAGCATAGTAGGCCAGCCCCTCATCCCAGTAGGTCAAAGGAGTTTTTGACTTCAGTGTTATGATCCAGCATCATTTTTCACCTGTGCTTGTGGAGGATGCACCATTTCCACTTGTCCTTCAGGACCTGATTGCGTTGCACTGAACAGCTGGACCAAGGCCCATAGCTCTTTGCTAAAAGGAGCAGGAGTACAGGTGCCCTGTAGAAGGCACACTGAGGTCTGTCCTCAAAACCCAGCAACTAAATCGTACCTCCCAAATACAAGGGTGCCAACAGTGCAGGAGTGCAAATCCCAGCAGTGTATGATAAAGAACTGTCTTCACTGTGCGGCGCTGTTGTTTGCCACTTTCCCCAGGCTCATCTCAGTCATATTCTTGTAACCTGGACTGTGAACTTTCTGGTATGTGAGAGAGATTTTATATTACAAGTCTGCAAGAACGTCCAGTATGATGAACGTCCTGTGTGGTACTGTAATGTGAATAAAGCCATAATAGTTAGCTGTAACTGCAGTGGCATGTTTATTCGATACATACTTGGCTATTGAGCAGACAGGTAAATGTGTGTGTGTGTGTGTGTGTCTCTGTGCATCTTGTTCCCTCAAAAAACCATAGCCATCAGTGATTTGCAGATGTCAGTGGGACAGCAGCCGTTTGCCTTGGGGACAGGAATGTATTTTAGAGGTGTACAGCTCCTCTGCTTGCAGGCCAGCACTATGGACAGCAAGGGAGCGCAGCCTTTACCTGCCAGCGTAATATTAAGTTGATGCATACAACCCAATTAAAACCTCTGACTGTGATTAGACCTTGACTTGCCATCTCAACCTGGCCGAGACAATATTGCCCTGTGTCCCCAGTGATGGAGAGCCCAGGTCTTGGCATCCTCCATGCAGGCCTCTTCCAGCAGCGTGTCCTGGCGGTGCTCAGTGTGACTTTCAAGGTGTTGCGAGTCTTGCTTAAGGGTGAGCTGCAGGCTGGCCTTGTCCCAACTGGTGTGCGCCATCCCAACTCTCTCGCACCAACCCACCAAGCTGACAGACCTGTGGGAACCTGTCGGCCAGGGTGCAGTCCCCACGTTCAGGCAGTCAGGCGGGTGGGCAGGCACTGCTGTCTGAGGGAAAGTAGAGGAGAGGTGTCGTTTGTAAGGCAAGCCTGTAACGAAGCAGCCTGGGAGTCTCTCTCCCCCCAGAGCCCCACAATCATCTTTAAACCTTTGCCACAAAAATGTTAGTGGAAATGACCTATTCTCCTAGTTAAGAGCTGAAGGCTGTTCTTCCCCTCTGGCATCCGGGTTGTATATAAGTTATCCCACAGCATGTGCAATAACAGATGAAACCTCAGGGAAATACCAGACCTCAAGAGAAAGTTTGCTTTTTAACTACTTTCAAATACCAAAAAACAAATGTAAGTACTGCTGAAGAACTCCTTTAAGAATTGGAAACAGCAGGATAGAGAAGTAAATTTGCCAAGAATGACCTCAAAAACTGAGCTCAAAACAGCACCTCCTTCTTGCCTGGGGAAATGTGAGGACTCTGTCCAAAGCTGAGGGCTTAATCTCCCTTTTGTCCTTGCTGGGATCTTTGAGTTGGCCCTGTTGGCCTCAGACACTGTTCTGCGGACGCTTTACACCTAGCTGGGATGGGAGCACCAGGAGGATTCGAGGACAGAAGGGTTCTGGCCTCCCGACATTGCTTTATGTCGTTAGATGCTTAGCTACAGGCAAGCGCCACTGCATATATCACTTTCTGGAGGTTATAAAGCCCAAGAAACCGATGGGGGTGAGTTGGAAGAGGGAACTGGAATTCATTTCAAGTAATATTTGGCACCAGTGCCCAACCTGTGCAGCTTCACTGCAGTCTACAGAATCACTCAATATTTGTCCCAGACAAACGGAGCTTGCAGGGCTTGTGGGTTTACTTAAACAAGATTGTCTTGGGTGCAAAGCTTGTAGCCTCACCTCTGAATTATTTAAGCAGTCTGTGTTACAGTTTTTTTATCTAATGTGTCTGTGCCCTTTTTAAGATGTTGTATCTATGGCTCTAACATCTTCCATGTACTCACCCAGCAAAAGGTAGTATCGACTCATTAGAATTAGCAGTATTAGCCAGAAGGGAAATTGCTGCACTAAAACAAAATGCCAGAGCACAGACTCCTCTGCTTTTAGAACCCTTTTATTTTCAGTATGATTTCAGCGTTTTCCTGTGAGACATACTGCATTTTACTTTATTGTGGCATGCAGCGCACTTAGGAGGGGATGCAAGTCATCTATCTTTGCTTATCCAAAATTCAGCGTCTCATTTAATATTACCATGCAGGCTGCCTCTGTAATCCACGAAAGGCATTTCTAGGGAGTGATTTACTTAATGGATATTAGGTTCCTATCTTAGAAGGCATCGAATTTCCCTCTGAAACTACCTGTGTCTCTAGGGAGAGATTTTAGAGCCACGGGTATGGGATGGGTGCATGGGGCATAACAAGGGGATATTGAGAGTTTATTGAGGGAAAGGCTGGGGAGGGGATGGAGATAGATATGCTTCTAGGGGCTCATTGTGAATAGAATAAGGGATGCAGCTGGGGCAGGGGGCTGGCACTGGGACTGAGTATGGAGGAGTCCTGAAAAGTTTTGGGGAAAAGGGAATAACAGCTCCATGGTTTTTATCCCTTCTTTGGCCACATCCTCTGTGCTCCTAAAGAGACCCCGGGGGGCATCCTCGGAAAGAGGGCAAGTGGGTGAGAGAGTTTGGGCCTCGGGGTGTGGGAGGGCAGGAGCCAGGAAGGAGAACAGCGGGACCACTCCTCCATCTGGCCAGCTTGGACTCATTTGTAGGCAGCCAAAATTCAACTGCACCCCAGCTGGGGAGCAAAACGCCTTCTCCGCAAGTGCGAGGCTTCCTGAAAGTGCTAATCCCTGCCTCTGCTCTCTTTCTGCCTGGCTGAGGAGCCGCTCTGCACCCTGCACCCTCCCAATTTCCTCCGGCTCTCAGAGGTGGAGATGCGAGGGTCGGAGGAGGCGGCTGCGGGCACGGTACTGCAGCGCCTGATCCAGGAGCAGCTGAGGTATGGCAACCCCAGCGAGAACATGAACCTGCTGGCAATTCAGCACCAGGCCACGGGGAGCGCAGGGCCCTCCAACAGCACTACCAGCACTCTCTCTTCCACAGAAAACCTCGCACAAGAAGAGCCACAAATGCTCCAGCAGTCGGCCCGCCAGGAACCTCAGGGGCAGGAGCACCAGGGGGACAATACGGTGATGGAGAAGCAGGCGCGGGCCGCGCAGCCCCAGCAGAACAACGAAGAGCTGCCCACCTACGAGGAGGCCAAGGCCCAGTCCCAGTTTTTCCGAGGCCAGCAGCCAGGAGCGGTTGGCCCAGGCTTTTACGTCGCTGGCGCGTCCAGTCAGAAGTCCAGGACTGAAGGGAGAGCGACGGTGAACCGGACCAACAGCGGGCAAGCGCATAAGGACGAAGCGCTGAAGGAGCTCAAACAGGGTCACGTCCGCTCGCTCAGCGAGAGGATAATGCAGCTCTCGCTGGAGAGAAACGGTGCTAAGCAACACCCGCCTACCTCAGGGAGCAGCAAAGGGTTCAAAGCGGCAGCGCCGCCGCCACCGCCGGCCCCGGCGCCTGCAAAGGGCATGGACCCGCGCGGCCCGCCGCCCGAGTACCCCTACAAAGCCAAGCAGGCGGTGGCCCCCGTCAGCAAGGCCCCCGAGCATGGGCTCTTCTTCGGTGACCAGCATGCGACAATGGTGCAGGATGTTCTCAAACCCTCCTACCCGGCTCCTCAGCCGGCCCGGACCGAAGTCGCCGTCGTTAGATACCAGCCACCCCCCGAGTACGGGGTCACCAGGTAATTCTGGCTGCCCGGGTTCCTACGTGCTCCTCGGCTTGATGGTTTTTCACTCTTAAGTTGCGGCTGCTTTGAAGCAGGTGACGTGGTTGCTTTCTTAATCCAACCTGTAAAATTTGAAGGTGAGCAAAAAGTTCTCCCTGACTCCAGCAAACGGAGCGTGTTACTCTTCAGACATTTTTCCTCATGAAATAGTTTCAGGTCAGGAGTCAGACTGCACCAAATTTCCCTGGGGCGGGTATTTCTAAAAACATCTGGTACATGCCATAAATAATCATCGTCTAAAAGGTGAAAGCTCAGGTCTGACTGGAGAGACGTAGAGGCACGTGCGTGGCCCTGATTCTGTACTTGCAGCAAACAGCCAAACTCCAGTTGACTTCTGCAGCTTTTTGATCTTATATAAACATCTCCCCTGTGAGCTTGAGCCTCATTTACACTGTGGTGACTTCATACCTCCTGACAGTATAAACAAACCTGCGAGTAGATATAAATATAATTTATTCCCATTTAGAGATGTTTTTTGCACTCTGTGCCAGAACATCAGGGCCCATAATCTATCAGATGCCATCTCTTTAGGTGTACCAAGGTGTCGTTAGTGCTCGCTGTGGCCCATGAATGAGGAGCTTCAGGTTGTACACGAGCAACCTCCTGCTAGCAGGAGTTATAGCTCGACATGTAGTCAG